ACCTTTGACCTGTGACCTCTTTTCCGAGACCATGTTTGGCCGGAATCGCCATTCGGCGTATGTCGGCTCGCATTAGCCGCGCGTTTGCAAGCTTTTCGTGGTTTCAAACGTTCAAACATGTGATTTGATGTTGCTCACATACATAAGGGTGGGTGTCAAGGTCACCTGAAGGTCAGGTCAGGTCAGTGACCTTTGGTGACCTCGGGTGACCTCGGTTCACTTTTTCGAGTTTTACATGTTTCTATGCTAGTTTTTGGAGCTGAATTCGAATTTAGCAACCATTTGAACATTTACGAAGCAGTTTTGGTGCCTTCGTAACATGTTACGAAGCTGTCAGAGGCGGTTGACAGTTGACACGTATTACGAATACCCTACCGGTTGAGCTGACTTGACCTGAACCGACCTGGTCTAAATGCTTAAAGACATCATCTCTGATCAAAACTAACACGATATTCGTGATCAGCACCCCGGAAAACCACATAGCAGCCACACTTTACAACTTTCTAACAGGTCCCGATTTCCCCGGTTTTCGGGTCATTGACCTGACCTGGAAGGTCACCCGATGACCTAGGACCTTAAAATTGGGTATCATCGGCTTCCTCTCATGACGGGCAACACGCTCGTTTTTTTTTCGCGAAGCTCTAGCTCGATCAGGGGCTAAACGCGAGAGGGGGTCGTACCAACACCCCCCCCCCTTGTGCCGTCAAAGGACGCAAAATGGCGTGTGCCGGCGAGGGTTAAGATCATCTACATTCTTCAGGCTAGGTACTTTGCTAGAGATTTTGAAAGTTGCCTCCACCCTTGTGTGAGGTTTTGCGATTGGTATGCTTGCTATATTTATATAGCAATGCTATGATATATTTAGTTTATTGCTCACCGTTAATTTAAAAAAAAAAACGACTACATAGATAATAACGCTGTTCATGCCGTGAGCTCTGAGCATTGACCATCAGATTTAAAGACGCCATGAAAGCGTTGTCCTACCCAGCACGGCAGGGACACAAACAAAGGAATAATAATGAGTCACGGATGTAATTCGTAGTAAAAACAAGCACAAAATTGATAAGATGTTGAACACATGAGATATTTTGGCTAATCTTCTAAATATACTTGTAGCAAATACACTTTGGCCTCTTCCCGCTCGAAACCAGCGAGTCCCGTGGCAAAACTTTGGCTTGTGTGTATACCTATGTAGTGTCCGCTGTCTGTGCTGAATGCAAATACCGATATTGATTAGCGGATGTTTACTTCCCTTTACTTAGTTACTTTAAAAAAAAATAACCAACAGGCCATATGGCCCACTAAAGAGTCAAGAAAAACTCATGTTTACCTTTAGGCTTACCTATGTCCTATACAATACATCTTCTATTTGCACTCGCGCTAGCGCATACGCATACACAAACGTATTCCGGAACTTCAAGAAAAGATGTAAAGACGAAAAAAGTATGATAATAAAGAACATAATAAAAAAGTTCTAAACAGATAAAGCACCGTTCATCAAGGCAAGTTTTTACAGAGAGTCTCAACGCGCGTCACTTCGGAATTGCTGTAGCAACTAGCATGTTGAGAAAAAGGTTAAAGGTAGTGTGCCACCTTTGAAAGATTTCCCATTTTATTTTTCCTAGGATAAGAAGCTTCTGTTTTTACCTAATATCGCAAAAAAAAAATCAAAAATGGGCCTGGAATAGTGCCTTTTTCGCCTAAAAGTTTATCGGTTTTTAGATATGTATAACAACTGTAGTGGGCTCACCTGCAAACAGGCGTCGGGCAACAATCGCGAATGCGGCGCACTTGTGACAATAAGCAAAGGTCATTATAGTGTTACGACCATACGACGTACGGGAATGAGTTATCAGCTGTCTAATCGTAGACAACACAATGTCGAGCCTTAAACTGTAAGCCCGTATTGGTATTGTTTCTTTTATTTGGCTGTCGAACATTATCTATGGTTTGAAATATGATTTTATGTAAAATAATTGATATGAAAAAGCCGTCTTATAAGTTATGACCCCATTTCACCACACGTAAGTGGCAGAAATGACAATGATCAGCTGACGCATTTTTCTTGGCCGAAGTCAGAGCGCGCGGCCCGACGCACCACGCGTATTTGGAAATTCCGACCTCGACGAGCATCAGAAGCCAACTAACAGGCGTGTTCGAAACCGCAGGAGCTGATGATGAACGGGTTTATCGAAACTTGATTGGATGAGCATATCGGTAATAGCGATTTCAGTGTGTGCATTTATTGTTCATAGTGGTGTGAAATGTGGTTGGGGTACGACCGACAACCCGTCGGGGCGAATTTCGTACTGGGGTACTCAAAATTTGAAGAATTTAAGACGTTTCCATGAGTTTTGAAGGTATGGATAAGTTCTAAAAATCCGGTTCTCCTTATCTGGGCCATTAACTCCATACGGTCCAAGAAAGCTGGCACACTACCTTTAATGTGCAGCTTGTGTGTCGTTATTTAGAGGAAAGGGTAATAAGATGCTAGCAGCTTTGAATGTTGCATGGGTCACTGAGAGTAGGTGCCTATCTTTCTTAGGGATGCCGCATATGCATCACAGAATGATTCAGCAACACCTTTACCTGAATTCTAAACAGGTAACTGAAATGCACAAGTGACTATTTTCTTAAGCTAGCGCTTGCCGCTTACCACCGGTTTGACGCCTTGACGTAAAAGACCTTAACCAACACGCATAAATTGCTATGGCATGGTAACTATTGCTAACGCCTAACAGTAGGTACTTACCTGGAAATAGCAAACATGGAACGCTACGAGACTCCGTTAGGACACCAACGGAAAAACAAGGAGGCCTGAAGCAGCATCGTCCCGCTCCAAACAACCAGCTGCCAGCTGAAGAAGCCGCTCAGCCCGCTATCGGGACAAGTTACGACAGCAAAACACTCGATACACCGATAATAATCATTACGAAAACAAGCACACCGGCCCACTGAGTGGCAAGGAGCCGCTCCAGCGCAGGACACCTTTCACCCTGTGAGGACAAACATAAGCCTGTTAACAAAACACTCCAGCCAGAAAACGCCACCTGATAATTATTCTCCGCGCCCGCGGCGCGACTCGAGTGTCTTTTTCTCTGGCCGGCCAGAGTGTTTGGCGCTTTGTGAGGTGAGTGGGCCGTCTGGCCATTAGGGCAGTATTTGCGCCCGCGTCCGCGCCCACATGTCGGCACTAGTTCGATCGTTTCTCGCACCATTTTAGCCACTCGAGCTGAGCCGGCCATTTTGGCCGGCGCTGTCGGCCTTTGACGGGGTCGGCCGAGTGCTCTGTTATCGGCGTGCGGCATTCAGCTGCAGCCGCCCATAAAAGGAGACCTAACGAGCTTGTTAGACCTGCGCGGCCTCTGGCGGGCCCGGCGGCGGCGCCTGCGGCGATCCAGCATGGCCGCGAGCTGCGGCGCTGTGGGGCGCTGTGGGGCGCAGCACAGTGAGCCAGCGCACGGGGATGACGGGCTGGTAGGCTGTGCATTATGGGATTGAAGAGTCGAGCAGTGCTGCAGATATTTTACCGAACATTGCGTATGCCTACAAAGTACGAACCTACCTTGTTCAAATAAAAACAAACAAATGATGAGTATTTCTAATTTTAAGGACAGGTAAAACCGGCTTCAGAACAGCCACTTTCTGGCCAATTAAGAAAACACGGCTGAGAATGTTAAATTACTGATAGTTTTAGACGAAAACGTGGAAAATTCCATGCCTATCTGTGCGTCATTTATGGTAGGTATACCCATTCTATTTGGATTTAACGTAGGTACGATAAGCGAGTGTTCTAGGTGTATGTAAATACCTAGAAAAGTAAAAAGCATCTACGTTGTTTGCACTTACCCACCCCCGAACGGATGGGATTTGTCTACTTTTTTATGTGTGCAAGAATGAATAGTGGCTGGTACATACACGCTCCCGCATGCCCGTCAGCTCGCTCTTTGAAAAAGCTATGCTGAGACAATTCCAGGGACCTAGCGCATGAATTTGCGTCATCACACTGGCTACTCATCTTGTTTGTTTCGCTGCATGACTGGGTTTGCATGGATAACATCTCAGGAAATAAATAAGGATTACATAACTCCTTCATAAAAGTATACTGTAGTTTTACTCGTACGTGGAAGCCAGTAATTTTCACGGCGGAAGGATTAGAGCCGCACATCCGGTAAAATATTCTTGCAAGTTGCTACTTTAGGAAGAGGGAGAGGGAGGAAGGGAGGAAGGGAAGGGATGGAGGGAGGGAGAGGGAGAGGGGGAGAGAGAGACGGGCTTTTGTTATTAGGGGAACACCTAACAAGATCGAGACATTCTTTGAAACCAGGAAACCTTGGAAGTGCAGGATGATGCTGACTGATGTATATTGTTTTGAGATGCGATCTAACGGAGGCACACATAACTGTCCGATAAAAATTATTGCTGGACTGCCTTCGATATTTCAACCTTTGCTGAAGTCTGAACGGCGAACAGCCATAGCCATTACTTTTATACGCATATGTTTGTAGTCATCATTACTTCAAATTACAAAACATGGCAGCAGCATCAGTTCCATTGGCGGATCCAGAAAGGCGGTCTCGGGCGCTGCACGAGGGATGTACCCTGAAATGTAGCTCCAAATTAAAAAATCATCGGATTTCGATCCCTTATGCAGTGCTGTGCAGTTAAGAATAAAAAAAAATCCATGAAAGCCTCTTACTTTTCTTTCTCTTCTAGAAAAAAACGATAAATTGTCATCGATTTTGGACGCTGGGAAGGGGTAGTTGCCCCAAATGCCCTCTCCCTCGGAAAAAAACATCGCCAAAACAAAGGATCGACATAGGATGAGTAGCCGATGGGCGGTGTGCAATAGTCATTGCCGTCGTCATCACGTCACACATTGTTCAATTATAATGTTTCGCGCAACTAGGGACCAGATATGCATAACAATATAACATTCACCTACCGTAAGTATACCTAGCTATTAAAACATTGGTTCTGTGTAGGTACTCACTACTCACCAGTCAAGTTTCTTTTGTAGACACATAGTTTACGGCAGTTCTTTGTTGGATCTCGTACAGTTTTACTAACTCTTCCCGACGGTCCAAACTGACGTAGATGCTGTTCACAGGCCAATCGTGCATTCTTCGTTATCAGTGATTCCTCGTTATCAGTAAGACAGATCCTCACCACACCGAGTCACACTCAAACACCCGTCTCTGACTGCCCCGGGGCTCTGACTGGAGTGCCGCGTCTGTGAACCGCCTGTGATGAACAATCTGTAAACTGGTAGAAAGGTGTCCCCACTCTGACGCTGATCACTCCTGACGGCTGACCGAGGGGAGCCGCCGCAGGGACATTTCAACAAACAGCGCAGACGCCATCTGTGACAGCGGCACCGCCCCGCGCCGCGGGAGACAGACATGTGGCGATCAGGTTACCCGGCATAGACAGGACTCATTCCGGCCGGAAACGGCAGGGGCGGGCTCTGTGGATGAAATAGGTTTGATATGTTTGAATCCAGATTGTGACTGGGAAATATTACAAGCGATTGGTGCTCCTAGGGCGATGAGACTCAGAACGACATTTAGAAGCTCACCTCGCTTGGAATCATGTCATTTCAATCGGTTATTTCGACTGTGTTCGCCGCTAACACTAGCCGGAGTCATAATTCTTAAAATGAAACAAAACCAACAGAAAGAAAAACGGAGCCCGAAGAGTCGTAGATCGTTCTCGACACTCCCTAGTTTCTAGTCTCTGTCTCCGGCGGGAACTAAGTCTCCGCAGTTCCACCTTCAGTACGGCGGACGGAGGCCCCCACTCTGTCCCCGCCGTCCCGCCCCGATCCCTCCGAGATCTGAGTGGCCCCCGTTACCGCCCCAGCTGTCACAACAGGCCGGGCGGGCGCAGACCAGCCGCTCCAAAGGCAGCCAATCGGGCTCCGCTCTAATGGCGCCCGGCCCGCCAACTGACGACTAATGACCAGTTGGTGCTCCCCAGCGGCCAATAACGGCTACTTACCGAGACAGCAGACCCGGCTAACGCCGAAATCGGCCCAAAACACGACTTCGGAGGCGGTCTGTCACGCGCGGCTCCCGTGAAGAAGCGGGAGTCACAGGAAAGGTGCCGTCGATACTCACTAAGCCATCCGGTCTCACGCGGGGAGCTTTCTGACTCGGTACCATTTGCGGGGAGGGGACTGAGGGTCACCTGATGGTCCCAGTGTGGTGAAAGCAGTCACAATACCGGGAGGTGGGCTCATCGGGCGGTATTGACCAAATGACCCTCTAATGGCGGAAGAATAGCACTGCTAATCCAAGGAAGTCTGAATAACTCGGCAGTGGAAAGAATGCGACCGGAGGTAGCGGCTTGACTGAAAATGTAATGAATGGCGCATGTTAACGCGCTTTTGAAAATGGGAGTCAGACAGTGGCTGCATATTGGCTGAATGGCAATTATGATGTGGTGAGGAGCTCTATCCACTTAGAAATTCCCTTTCATGACTCGAAATCGCAAGACTTCAGAAGGATATCGCAGACAATTGGCTCTTGAGCTCTCATTTTGTAAAATATCTTTCCCGAAGATGATACAAACCGACAGAACATCATAAGAAGTAAGATTCTCTCAATGATTAGCTTGTTGTTTGACGGGATAGCGAATTTACTCTGCTCCAATGCATCAATGGGTTTGTATTTGTGCATCAAAATAACTAAATCAAAGGTCAGTTTTGATAAGACAGAAAGGATCACAGAGATATGTTGTGCGTATGACCAGTCACCACAAAAGGAAGCAGCCATTTAAAAATAAAGCCTTTGAAACACTGCCACTCATTTCTAGCATGGGCGTCGAAACCGGGGGGGACGGGGGGGACGCGTCCCCCCCAGTCGAGGAATCCGGGGGGGACGTCCCCCGCAAAAATATCCCCATGAATGATTTAAAAAGTGACCTACGACATTGGTGTATTGTCGTTTTGGGATGAAATTGCGGATGCCTACTCGTATACAAATTGAATCTGTGAATTGCTGACACTGTACCCTTGCTTACAAGGCTGCGGAGTAGATGATTTTGGTAACTCCGACTCCGGCTTAAAAAAAAAACGCTCGGAGTCCCCAGTGGGGACTCCCCACTCCCTCTCCGACCACGGCATCCCTCGGCCCGCATCGGAGTGAAAAAAACATGTGATGTGATGCTTTTGTCTCTTTGAACGTTTCTTGGCACATTAAAAGATAACATTGCCTACGAGGTGCAGCTCTGGACTGTCCGTCCCAGGTCCTCGATAGGGAGCCAAAGCTCCACTTGTAGGGGCGACCATATCCAACAAGGGCTGAAGATCTGTCCCAAAGTCTCAGAGTGCAGTAGGACAACAGCTTGCAGAGACCACACATTTTACATAGGATATTCATAATAGTCAAGACCTTTAGCTCACTCTCAAACGGCCCTCTTCCCGTTCGAGGCCATCCGACAGCAGAAGGTCTCACCATGGCCTTTGAACGCTTGATGCTTGAGGGTGAGAGGACCTCGTCCTGGTCTGAGAGAGCCCAGGAGGACGTAATGCTCAGTATCCCCCTACATTGGTCTTACCACGACCCCTACAATCACCACAGCCAACAGAATCTCCAGCTCTTATTCGACACATCCTCGGGGATGACGTTGACTCTGACTTCAGAGTTGAAGTCTGTTACGATTTTGGTGACTCCAACTCCGTATCCGACCAAAACCGTCGACTACGACCGAAGTCGACTCCGACCCCGCAGTCCTGCAGCTACACTGCACAGAAGTTGGAAAAAAGCTGTACCTATGGTTGACAGCGGTTTACAGAGGACCACACGATTTTTTAGAGGCAGGGCTGCTGGACTTGGTGACCAAACCCTAACTGTCCTGGTATCAAACTTATTACGCGGGATGCAAAATTTATGCGTTTTAGGACTGTTTTGCCAAGAGTTTTTGCCAAATTTCGCGGCGCTTCGCGCCGCCAATTCATGCACAGGTAGAAAAGAGTGTGACTTATAACGCCTCCACGCGAGAACATGAGAACATGTGTATTGTGTACGCGTTACAAGTAGTGCATAGCCCTGAAATTGTACGGTAAACTAACAAACTTTTGGGTTTTTAGTCAGCCAATCCGTCCCCCCCAGTCAAAAATCCGTGGCGACGCCCCTGATTTCTAGCCCTCAAAGCCATGAATTGGCCATCACCCACGCACACCGAACCTCAGAAAATAAACAGTCGGCGACTGTTACGGGGCCCATTTGAGCAAACAAACAACAGGTGATGGTCTGATCAATAGGACTGGTCGTGATAACATCATAACAAGTGTCAATCGTGTCCGTCCTACTCAACAGAAGAGTAATTGTGGCACGTCCTCAGAGGTCTTTTCATATTGATCCCAGAAAATGAAACACGAGACGGCTCCGCTTTGCTGCCGAGTGTTGTGGCCACCGAGTCCCGTTAGGGGTCATAGACCCTCATTTTCACACCTCCTCAAACCCGACCCTCCTCTGAAGAGGACGAGCTCCTCAAGAGGACGGCTACTTTGAAGAGGACGGTCTCGGCTCTCTGAGCAGACGGGCCACTCTGAGAGGAAGCACCGCTCTCCGAGTACCGCTGTTTGGCAAACAGTCTCCGGGGCGGCCGTTTGGGTGAATCTGTCAGCTCCGCGCCTCCCAGCGCCGCGCGCTGAATAGACCTCCGTCCGCGGCCCGCCCTAATAACGGCCCTGCTCACAGTGCACGCGCACCGTGCACAAAGCGGCCGGCCGGCCAGCCCGCCCTCCAAACCCCGGCCAATATGGCTCGGAGAGTGCCGCTGTGTGCGGCCTTTTCACACAACAAACGAGCTTGTGTGGCCGGTATTACCATACGCATTGTGCTCGGGGCTCCTGCTGGCCCCCAGCAGAGGGCTGACGAGCGCCTGTCAGCTCCGCGAGCTCTGATTGGTTGGCGCCGGGAGACGCTTTGATTGGCTATCGTTTGTGGAGCGTCGGTATCGGCGGCTCCCATCTCTGGACCGAGTCCCAAGCTCCCGGCCTATCCCGCTGTGTGTTTTGGGGATTACGGTGCACCATTAGTTTTATGACATTTGCCAAATCGTTCGAAATAGATCACAGCAGAGCGATCTGTATGGCTAATGTGAGAAGTAACTAACATTAGGTATTAAATCATTTTGTGTGCTTTGTGTGCTTGAAACATTCATAGATGTTCCCTACAATGGAGCATTATCATCATCGCCAAAGTTCTCTAAATTTTAAATAAATGATTGGCTCAAATTTACCGCTAAGTAAGCGGTAAGAAACAAGAGAAAACAGTTTTTAGCAATGGGAAATATTTACAAGTCTTGTTAGATGAAGAAAAAGCTACCAAAACCTGCTAACAATATCAAAATATTAAAAGTAAGATTAAGAAATAGGAATGGTTAAAAACAATTGAATAGTAACGAATTTTACCTCACGTATGGGAGACCCGGGAGGTATGGGTCCCTGGAGGTATGGGCCATCGCAGTTTTGAAGAAGTGTTGCGTATTTTTACACATTTGACCACGTAAACTGGTAGCAAAGAATAACAGCAGTATGGCCCTTAGACGGTGAGTGGATTTGCCTGAATAAAATTGGTAGCAGCCATTGCGTTATATAACCCACGTGATTTCCAAAATCTTCCTCAGTCTTCTTTGGCAATGAGCGGTGACAAAGCGCTTTTGCCCACTTTGAGTAAAATACGGTGCATACAGAAAATTCGTGATAATTTTGAGCCAGGCCCGTTTTATGATGTCAGACCATCGCTAACATAAAGTTTAAAGCATGCAAATTAATACTGGATACACAATTTGAAGTTTTCTTGCAAGATTATGAGCTGAGATGCTACGCACATTCTGGCGTCCTAACCGGGAGGTTCGGGCCACCCACCCCTGTTGATCCTAAATCAATAAAATGATGCTTTCATTGAATGTCCTCTTCAATATGTTTTATTTTTGTCGCGCAAGGTCGACAATTTAACTAAAAATTTCATTCGAACAGAAAAAGTATTATATATCTTATTTCGTGGAGCATGATTGAGTTAACCAAAAAACATATGTGCCTAAGTGACCTCCATGAAGTAAGCTGTTGGCCGCTTATGCGGTTCCTGGGCTCTAAGAGAGATCAAGGTAGATAGCAGCTAGAGTATTGTTCTAATTGTCGAGAAAAGAATATGAGACATGGAACCGGCCCATACCTCCCCGGCCATGGCCCATACCTCCCGGTGTATTTTGATGGCTCGAAAAAGCGCATGATTTATTAAAAGTTATCTCGAGACAAAATAGTTGGTCCCAGATGCCTAATATCAGGCACACTTTGTAGGCGAAAGGCAATGTCACGTACACAGAGTGAAAAACCGGGTCTAGCCACTGCCCACTGGAAGAAAATTGCCTTTTCACAAAACCGGCCCATTCCTCCCGGGTCTCCCCTACATACCTAAATCACATGTTGATATTTGTGTTCTTGAGGGATTACGGATTGAAACGCAAGAAAGCAAAAAGCAGACTGGAACGCCATTGCCTTCCTAAGATGTCATTATGCTGCCGAAAGAAGTTTTTCGGTTGTTTTGTATCTAGGCAACACATTTTTCTCACAAAACCGCAAATAAAACAGCAGTATGCACATTCCACAGGGTTGGACGTGAAGATTTACCCATTCATTTTTCCATTTTATTTGACATGTGAATGAGACAAGTTCATCATTTTCTGAAGGCATGCCCCTCACTCTGTCCTTTACCCGTGCTGGCACTGCTGTTTCTCGATGTGTCCCCCTTGCGGCCAGGATCACGCCTCACGGCCCTTAGACGGGATGTCACGAAGGCGTGCGTGCGCCGCACCACCTCTCCGTCGAGATTCAACCAGGCCAGTGACGAGAGCTTCTTTCAGATCGGTGATTTTGTGGTACGGCACTTTCGAGACATTGGTCCACGGACCATATTGCAAAGTCTATCGGGTTGATATCAGGGATCGACGGTGGCCAGATGTTCTTGTCCCAAAAACCGTCAAAATGGTCTCTGCACCATTTCTGGGTTACTGCGCTGCGTGCACTGGCACACCATCCTGGCTAAACACGATACCGGTTCCAAGTTGTTTTCTGACCCATGGTAGAACATTATCTTGCAGCATTTTCAGACAAACGCCACTTCAGATAAACGGCACACTGTTGAAATTTCGTGACTTCAACGCGAGATAGGCCAACGCTGTCGGGCGTGTCTGAACACAATCCAATGTGATGTCCATCGCCCAATGAGCCAGTCGGAGCCGAATGGCTGTCGCTCTGCTGGCCCTTTTCCGCCTTGGAAGCGCCGCGAACCGTCTTCGCCGACCCGACCCGTCTGCAAAATGATCTAACTGCGCCGAATTCGCATTAGCATTTGATTTAAAAGGCAGAACTCGTCGGCTAGTCTCCGATGAAACGCCGACCGTTTCCAGTTCATTTGTTAAATAGTTTTGCATAAAACTCGCTCGGTGGCGGCCGGCACGCTCGGGTAATCTGATTTCGGGCCCGATTGAAGAGACAGCGGGCCGACCATTACTGAGTGGCGCGCCGCCATCAATAAGCGCTCTGCCTCCGACGGCCGGCCTCCACTTTCCGCGTAATTTGAATAATTCGATTGGTGGGCCGCGAATAGACTCGTCAGTGACGGGGCGGCCGCAGCGACCGGCGCCGGTCCCCGCGAGAGCTCGCCGCGACGGCGTCCGCGGAACCCCAGAGGAATGGAGGCCGCATTGATTTTTTGGCAGAGAATATTTCCCCGCGGCGGCTTATTTGCAGAAAGTATTACCAATCATCAGTTTGTGACAGCCTTTTAGAGCGCCTTTGGCAGCCTCGCCGGAGGCTAGAGTGCCTTATTCTCCAACTTACCTGCTCGCCAACTTCTAAACGACCGTCGATAAAAGTTTGGAGTATGGACGTGCTTGCCTATGCAGCGTTAGCTTTTTAGAGTGTTGGCAGCCATTCTGATGAAAGTTCCTGGTGTGGTTTGGGCATAAATGGAATTAAACTTTGGCTCGCTCGGAATATTCAAGTAGCAGTGAGTTCCGTCGGCAGGTCTGCAATTTGGAAGCTGTTCACTCGCAAACTCCCGCGGGTGCTGATGAGTTAGGGTAGACTACATATGTATAAAACAAGAGCAGGTATTGGCATGGTATTTGAGACGCTATCTAACACCATTAGCAGTTCATGGTGTTTTAGCAATGCGCTGTGCACGAGCACAAATATTTTGTTTGGGCATTCCGAGGCGGCGTTGGCGAGTTAGTTCCAAAGCAAAGTGTGAAAATCACTGCATCTGAATGACGTAACTACTTTTAACTACAGAACATCTCTCCCATGCCCGAATGCTTCGTTGTAACAGTTGCCTCTGCGTAGGTATGCTTATCTTCCTAAAAAAAATATGCAAGAAACATAAGGTAAATGCAAAACGAATGTATTGTTTCACGCACAAATCACATCAATGGAGGATTCTACGGTGAAAACATCAAATAGCAGAGTTATAAATAATGAGGATATGATAACTCATCAGGCTACATCACAATAAATACGGTCATCTCATGCATGCATCCAAATCATTCAAAGTTCCATTGATCGCGTCCATCATGTCTCCGTCGTCCCGTCGTCTCCCCGGCTGACCCGCTGACCCGCGGCCCGTGACCCCTCACTGAGAGACGGCGCGGTAGCCGTAGACGGGCTCGTACTCGACGGCCGGCTGCCGGACGGCCGGCCGCTCAGCAGGCGCCGAGTACTGCTGCACGGTGCGCACGGACGGCGCCGCCTCCGTGGACGGCACCTGCGGCGTCGGGTACTCGGTCGGCACCGGCGTCGGCAGCGCGTCGCTCTCGGCGCGGAAGCCCAGCGCGTTGGCCACGTAGCGCACGCTGATGAGCCGTCCGTCGGGAGCTCGGTAGCTGTAGGAGCCGGTGACGGTGCCGTCGGCGCTCTGCTCCTGGCGCTCGATGTCGTCCTCGGAGAGGAAGCGGAACCCGTAGCCGCCCTGGTCGTCGCTGTGGCTCTCCGACTCGAGGATGCGCACCAGAGGCAGCGGAGAGGCGGCGGCGGCGGCGGCGCGGACGGCCGGGGTGGGTCCGTAGCCGGGGGAGCCGGCGGCCGCGGCGGCCACCACGGCAAACAGGATCACAAACTGTGAAATGGGACGGGAGATATCAACTTACGAAGACATTGCTTCTGACTCCTTTGTCAGTTTCACTATCCTAATCCACTAACAGTAAGTCGGTTTTCTATCAATAGCGTGGTTTCCCAAAGCCCAATGCCTTTTTCAAAGTCCAATTCGACCCCCACATGTCTTACCATCTTCATGATGGTACGATTTGTGTCTGGTGGCTGTCCCGTTGGGAGATGCTTCTGTAGTGTGATGCCGTCCCCGGCGTTCCCGTCGTTATATATAGTGAGGACGGCTCACCGGATGACCGTGAAAGGGACAGGTTATGGAGACATCCGGTGGTCGCCATGGGACGGGGGGGAGGGAGCTGGGGAAGTCATCGGTGATAGGTATATGGGATTGAGTTTTGGTTGACAAATGCCTAACATGTTGACTCAACCAGTGCGCGTTTCTTTGACATAAATATTGAATATGCACAACGCAATTTTTTTTTTAAAGGCTCTTGGCTTACAATGTATCGAAAATCAGCGATAGGGCGTCAGTTGTCTAGTATATATGTTGCTATTACAGGTTACTGGTCATACCAGGTCAGGTCACAGGTCAGGTCACCAAGGGTCAGACTCACTACATGAAACCAACTTTACTAAGGTTGTGCGATGCATGTTTTATGGCCAATTTTTCATTTCCAACTCAATGGTGTTGGTTATAAGACCATCAGGTACGGTTTAGGTCACTTTCTGGTGGAGGTCAGGTCAAGGTCAGGTCAAAAAAGGTCAAATTTCAAAGTTGATAGTTTTCCATAAAATGGGTGTTGATTCGATGCCGCTCGTCACGGGGAGTCTAATGGTGGTCTTTGTTTTGCGTTATTTTGAGCAGTTTTTTCGCTATAACTTGGCGAAAAAAGAGGTACCGATCTCAAATTTGGTATGTACCTAGATAGAAGGCGGTAGGGACTATCACATATATTCCGGTTTTTCAAAATTCAAAAAACTTTAGATTTTTCAGCTTTTATATTCAAAACATTTTTTTTTGGGGGGGGGCTCAAAACCCAAAAATTTCAAAAATCCGTGATAACAGTTTTGTAGCCCTTTTAATTCTTCACCTTTTATATTGAAACATTTTTCTTTATCTCTAAAGCTGTAGGCCTGACAAATCTTCCCGCGAAACCTTTTTTTGGGTTGAAAATGGCAGAAATGACGTCACTCTAACGTCATTAGCGGCCAACCTATCATAGCCTTTGAAAAAAAATTGGCCATAATGTGCAATAGCTATTCATGCGAGGGTACTGAAAGTTTGGTGACGATCGGCGCAGCGGTTCTGGAGCTATATCGAAAAACTAAAGGGGCAAAAAATGCCCCCCACCCCCACCGCCTGGAAGGTTAATTAAAAAGAAGCACATTACCCAATTTCGAGACAAATCAGGCCCATTACCCTGATATGAATTCACGCGCAAGCTTCTTCTCGGGACAAAAATGCTCGCAGTCGCATTACTGTCATGATAAGCCGCAAGAAAATCTATCAGAATGAACAGTGACCTCTAGGTGTCCAAATACTTTTGTCTCGTTCAATGTTGTTGATTGGAGGACGCGTGGAATTTTGTTCCTTATGTTCGTCCTCAATGTTTAGTGGAAATTGATTTATTTCTTTGGGCCAATAGTCAATTACCACTACAGTGCAAATACCAAGCTCAGTTCGAAGTACAGTCTATTTATGTCGTTTCAGCGATAGGGTAGCCAGGGGCAAGACGCCTCATATAATTTATTTTGCTAAATAATTTTTGTCCCACATCGCCTGAAAGGTCAACTTTGTGCTCATTGCGTTCCTTGGGCATTTTGCTTTAAATTCCACCTCTTACATTCATTCACTTGTAATCGGACTCCCAGCTAGCAAGTGATTTGTGAAGCAACTGCAAATGGGGTATTTTGCCCCAGCCCCACGGCCTGGGCAAGAAGGTTCAAAATTCATAAAAGTCCTTAACCTGATGTGCGCTATAAAAGAACGCCATGATGCATTATACAATCACACCAAAAACACATTTTTGGCTATATCTTCCCAAATACCTACGTTAGGCGGCACGGGCGGACATCGATAGCAGCGCCTCTATCGGTCACTAGGGAAAGCTGGGCTGTAGGCGACGAAATACCGGCTGAGTTGTCACACGTTGAATAGGTTTATAGCCATCCGTCTTGTGAAAAAGTTGAACTTTTGCCTTTAATATTTCTACAGGCAATTTTAGAAGTGTCTTCACATGGATTACAAAACCGTTTAGATTATTGTATTCACTTCAAGTCTTCCCTATTGTTCTTGATGATGCGGGAACTATTTCTAATTAGTGTTTCTAGCTTAGTAAAAGAACATACTGTGCAAACGATGAAAAAAAGCATAAATGGAAGATTTTAAATGCAATTTTCTCTAACAATTAATGGTAAATTCTCTACATATCAAGGAAAAGGTGCATGCTAACTGATAATTTAAAGTTCTTGGGGCCAGTTGTTTTCTTCTTTTCTTACGTCGCCCCAATGGCCGCGAATACACTTGTGATAACACCTATCGAGGTGTCCTTTCCAGTCTGCTCATATACTTAAGGATCATATAGTGTACGTTTTAACCCTATTCCTGGCGGGCTCCGCCGGGACAAGAAACTGGCGGGGGGGGGGGGCCGATTCGGCCCGCCCTTCAGATCTCAAAAACTGCACATCGCAGCGACAAACGGCGAACGGCGTTTGATAGGTCGTTTAAAGATCTACAACTTTTACATAAAACATTTTCAGGTCAGGTCAATATTGAGGTCACCAGAGGTCATCAACGATAAAATGTTTTGAAATCAGTTACCTATATAACTTTTAAACTAAGAAACATAGAGACATAAAACCAATACATTTTTTGTTGCTCTCGCCGAGGCGATGCGAAATAAGTATGTGATGACCTTCACAGGTCAATTTGAAATTTGACCTGAGGTCAAGGTCAGGTCATTCATCAATGAGGTTGTGGGGTATGGTCATGCTGCATACCAAACGACGCGCCTTGACCAGGCGAGCAGTTTGGTACCACTTACAAGTCTTTAGCACCATCATGTCGTGATTTATTTACAGAAAAACGATTTATGACGTCACATGACCTCAGATGGCCTTTGCCGGTGCCCCTGTCAATTAGCGGCACCAGGATCATCACCGATGAGATAATCTTCCATAATACTGAAAGAATTGGGTGGTTTTGACTCGTTTAGGTACACGAAGCAGGAGGCGTTTCAATATTTTCCCATAGGCTTGCAATGTAAAGGTCACGAGTCTGGCCTGACCTCAGGTCACAGATATGAAAATTCTGAGATACAAATTGCACATACTGGTACCCTAACAAAAGTCTGAAGAGAAGAAATTGATCGGTCAAAAACTCTAGCTCTGGCGTGATTGCAAACTTTTCTGAGGTAGGGTCACCAAACCGCCTCTGGTGACCTGACCTGAGGTCAGATCAACTCAAAATTTTCAGAAATGTTGCGTAAAAGCCTTTTAGTAAAAGTCAGAAAATTTGAGCTTCCTAGCTCAAAGCGTTTGGGAGAAATAACCAAAAAACCTCAGGGGGGGCTCCTGAGGCCCCCCCCCGCCAGGAATAGGGTTAAGGACGAGAGGATGTTTCCCCAGAACCTTGCCAGTTCGGAGAAAGTAGAACTATCGGTGAGGCGTTTTACCCCGGCGGGGCGACTTGCTCTGGTCTACCCTACATTTGTGATGTAACAACTTTTGCATTAAGGCTATGTTTTTCCGTCAAATTGTTGCCTCATATAGGTAATTTATAGTCATAAGTTTTTCAACAGGCTGCTCTCATTGTGGGAGGCGAAGAAATAACCTACCTGCTGAAAATGCATTGATTAGCCTAGTTTTCTGCAACATTTCCTCCGTCTGAGCTAAAATACTTTCGAAACATCCTGATTTGATACTGGCGCTATTGCAACTCTTGTGTAAAAGAAAATGTTGTTTGTTTACGTAGCAAGTATTGCATGCAAAAATGTCATTGCAACATCGGTGCCATTTTTCCGAAACAATTTGGAAAAAGTTGAATCATCGTCGATGTCGATGATATCAGCAACTCACTAAAAATTTAATCGATGTCTTCTGCTGGTTACTTGTAGGTACCTACTCCACCTTCACCTCCATTGTTTGTTTATTTGTAAAGTTTAAGCGTATTATATGGATTAACTGAATTGTGGTCGTAAAATATGTTTTCCCGATTGCCTATCCCTCGTCCCAACAGCCTATACCTGACGAAACTTGTCATCCCACATGATACCTAACCCTCATTCCTTCTTTTTCTTTCTCATTCCTTCTTCCTATCGGAAAAATATGCAAGAAAGATGAGGTAAATGCAAAATTGCAAAAACGAATGTATTGTTCACGTAGAAATCATATCAATCTTTGGAGTCCTTTCAAACGATGGTGAGTAATAAATAGCGAGGGACCCACACCCTACATCACAATAAATACGGTCATCTCCATGCATACATATCTGTCAAAGTTCCGTTAACCGTGTCCATCATGTCTCCGTCGTCCCGTCGTCTCCCCGGCTGACCGGCTGACCCGGCCCGTGACCCCTCACTGAGAGACGGCGCGGTAGCCGTAGACGGGCTCGTACTCGACGGCCGGCTGCCGGACGGCCGGCCGCTCAGCAGGCGCCGAGTACTGCTGCACGGTGCGCACGGACGGCGCCGCCTCCGTGGACGGCACCTGCGGCGTCGGGTACTCGGTCGGCACCGGCGTCGGCAGCGCGTCGCTCTCGGCGCGGAAGCCCAGCGCGTTGGCCACGTAGCGCACGCTGATGAGCCGTCCGTCGGGAGCTCGGTAGCTGTAGGAGCCGGTGACGGTGCCGTCGGCGCTCTGCTCCTGGCGCTCGATGTCGTCCTCGGAGAGGAAGCGGAACCCGTAGCCGCCCTGGTCGTCGCTGTGGCTCTCTGACTCGAGGATGCGCACCAGAGGCAGCGGAGAGGCGGCGGCGGCGGCGGCGCGGACGGCCGGGGTGGGTCCGTAGCCGGGGGAGCCGGCGGCCGCGGCGGCCACCACGGCAAACAGGGCCACAAACTGTGAAATGAAAACCGGTCGAGGTCAGTTTATACATGCATCATTTTCATTCTTGTAACGCGAATCGACTTAAGCTAGCGAAATGCCGTTTGACCGACATGTAAAAACTTAAAAACATATTTTTTCTTCTAGCTCACTGATCTTACCATCTTCATGATTCTACGGAGTGAGTCTGGTGGTTGTCCCGTTGGGAGATGTGTCCGTAGTGTGATACCTCCCCGGCGTTCCCGTCGTTATATATAGTGAGAACGGCCCACCGGGTGACCGTGAAAGGGACAGGGTATGGACTATGGAGTCACATAACGGTGCGACCGACTGGAAATAACTAGATGGGCACCGTCAGCCGGGGGATCCTAGCCATCAGGGGAAGGCAGGATGACACTGGAATATGTCTACTGATCGGCTCATCCCTCTAGCCTTTATCGGACAGAATCAGTCGGTTTTATGCTCCCGGCCAACAGAAGACGAGCATTCGCGCGAAACAGCGCCAGGTTATTGTGACAATGTTTGTAAACTGAGACGACATGGTAGGCCTTATCTCTATACTAACTGCCGTGATACGTAGAGTTGTGCGTGCTTGAGGTAAATTCCAAAATTTAAAGGTTTTTTTTTTCGTCCAAATGTCGTAAAAAAAACGTTATTGAGTCCACAATTTTTCTTTTAAACTGCCACTCCGAGTTCGACTATGGCTTCGCCATGTCGACTTTCACTTTGTATCCGCAGCTCGGGTCAACACATCCTGGGTAATAACATGATATAATTTATCTCGCGCACACGTTGACGCACCAGTGAAACATACATTCAGATCAGGGCGAGTAGTGGATACATGTATCACAGAATTGGAGCCCGGAAGGGACGTCAGGCTCCACACCTCAGACGCAGTCTAACAGAAACAATACCGGAGCAGTCTGTTTGCCTCGGACACCGGAAACGCCTACCTAATTACCGGGGGTGGACATATGAAAAGAAGCTTCATTTGACAGGAAATGCGATTTGATTATAGGAGGGTGATAACGTAATAGGCGAAATGAGAATATGTTACGAGAAAGTATGACAAGGGAACGATAACGATGGATAGAAATAACATTAACTGCGAAAGCAATGCATTCGGCGAAACCAGAAAGGTTGGCAATATGCTCGTGATACATCATAGCAAAATTTAACGTAAAATTAACCAAATACAAAACACTCGCACAACAGCTTCAATCCAGCCCGAAACAAATAGCATAAAACCGTAAGCTTCCTTTAAAACAAGTTCATAATCGTAGCACAAAGAAAAACAATCGAATCGTTGGCTGGTGCTTATGTATCGAGAAGTTGCATTACATGATAAACAACAGTTCAGTAGCACGTAATATAGGTGGTCGGCGAGATAAGCCCTCCCGGCCAACTAGGGTATGTGGGAGAGGGGAGAGGAAGGGGGCAAATGAGAGGATGGGGGATCGCTAGAGATCAGGGGCGCCGACAGACACCGGCGTCGAGTTATACAGAAGGTGCGTCGACTATCACAATGTGTTCAGGAATAATGCAGTCATAATACGGAACGCGCTAAGCTAAGGCATGATATATCCACTAATAAATCCGTATTTCGGGGATCTCTCTCTCTCTCTCTCTCTCTCTCTCTCTCTCTCTCTCTCTCTCTCTCTCTCTCTCTCTCTCTCTCTCTCTCTCTCTCTCTCTCTCTCTCTCTCTCTCTCTCTCTCTCTCTCTCTCTCTCTCTCTCTCTCTCTCTCTCTCTCTCTCTCTCTCTCTCTCTCTCTCTCTCTCTCTCTCTCTCTCCTTCTCTCTCTCCCTCTCCTCTCTACTAGCCCTTCACCCTGACCCCCCTACCAACAAACTAACGTGCACAACCACACCCATTGGGACACATCCTGTATAAACCCACCCACTAGGGATAAGAGCTCTACTGGGAAGCCTACGGCGCTTACACGCCTCTAGTGGCGTAGCGCACACAACACAAGCGCCCTCTTTGGTTTGGACCGCCGCCCTAGGGCACGACTCCTTAGGGAAAGTCTATGGGGACAGTCCAGCATGCGTTACAGTATCCCAGTATCATGAGTGTGGCGTTCCCATAGCTCATCAAGCTGCGTGGATGCGATAGGCCACTGCACCGAGAGTCCATCGTTGGGCCGCGCCAAATAGAATGCATGCATAGCTCATAACGTGTTCCATAGGGTCCATCGGCTCTCAACAACCCTTGCTCAGTAATATCTATGAAGTTCATGAGTGCCTTCGCACTAGTTCGGTAAACAGATTAGCACACAGGAATAATCTCTAAAACATTCCACTTCGAATGCTCTCCTGCCTGAAGCTCTGTCATGGCTTCATTGTCCGAATAATACCTACCTTTGCAGAAACGAATCACTCACAGTGAGTTGAGTTCATCCATCTCGACACAGCCATTAGCTCTCCATTTTGTCATCCTCTACCTCCGTCTCAGTCCACCGTCCTGTGGTCGCAAGCTGCTCCGGCGGGCGGCTGTGACTGTAAGCACTTCTATCTCCATCCCAGTCCGCCGTTCTCCGCTCACAGCCGATGATACGGCTATATCTCCGTTCCAGACCGCCGTTCGCACGTCCAGTCCGCATCTCCGCCCCAGCCCACCGTCCTCTCGCTCACAGGTGGTTCAGCGGCCATATCTCCGCCCCAGTCCACCTATCGCTCACAGCTGCTGACACGGCTTTATCTCCATCCCAGTCCACCGTCCTTCCTCTCACAGCCGCTGCGGCTGCGGAGGCCAGCAGCAGACGGCACCGGCCGCCGGCGCCGTCCGGCCGCTCCTGCGGCGTCACACGTCCGTATCATACCCGCGCTCCGTCTGCGCCATCAGCCGCGCGTTCTCCGGCTTCAGCCGCCCGGAGGAAGCGGCCAGCAGCGAGGGCGTGACACACGGTGTGGCAGAGAGCTCCTGCGGCTCGAGCAGGCGGAGTAGCTCTCGTGCTGTCGGCCCGCCGTCCTCGGTTGGGGCCCGGCCCTGCTGTCGCTGCTCCAGAGCAGTGGTGAGGTCCCACATCTGCAGTGCGCCCGTGCTGTGACCCGTGATCAGGTACCTGGCGGGGAGGGGCGGAGGGAGAGTGGTCAGCGGTCGATCCGCATGGAGTTTATGAGGCAATAAACATCGAAGTCCGAGCCGTCAAGTTGCCTCACACTTTTTTTAGTAAACTGCAGATAGTAACTCAACAAACTGTCATCAATCTCCAAACCCAAGGGTTCCCAAATTCAACTTCATAATGCATTGCTCAGTTCAGTTTATTCATATTTTGAGAATCTCACATCACTAAAACATCGGAAATTAGTAAAATATCGAAACTATACATCCCGAAACATAATCACAATTGATTTCGGACCACGCTGCCCAGTAGTTCCCCTCGTCCCAGCTCTCCTGGCGTCCAACTAACCTGCGGGGCCGGCTGGCCATCCGGCTGCTGCCCTCACACTCGTGGATACAGAAGGCCGTGATCGTGGATCCGTCCACAGAGCGCACCTGACACACACGCTCGCCGTCCGAGGCCCGTCGGACCAGCAGGAGGTCCGTGTCGGGTACCACCTTCTGGACAAACACCTGTTCGTCGTCCTGCTCACCGTACGGACCTGCCGGACACCACGGGTGAATATATGGGGAGCTGTGAAACACGGTTTCACAGGCAGGAGTCTGGAGTAGTTTTAACAAGGGGCAACGACATGCATGATGACTGGCGACTGCACTCACATTTGGAAAAGGATACGATTGATTGAGAAATATTGCGCATGAAAGAAAACACTGGCTTTGTATTTTTTTACAGCTCGAGCAAGTCCATGAAAGGCAGCTGATCATGACAATGTCCTATTCTGAAACCTTGAACGACTCAGCGTATTCAATAAGCAAAATACTTCACGTTAAGTTTATCCTTGTCTGTCAGACCTCATCATTCCACCTCTGCCCTCGTGTCCCGCACCCCTTTCACCACCGACCTGGGTCATTTCCGACCGCGTGCGCCGGCTGGTGGTCCACACTCTCCAGGCTGACGATCTTGAAGCTGGCCAGCGGCTGCGATCCCGGCTGGGTGGAGATCATGCCTCTGAACCTGGTGACGGACCAGGTGCGCACGTGGTGGTACTCGGAGCACGCCGAGATGAGGAACTTCTCCGAGAGGGAGACCTTTGTGACGGGGCTGCGGTGGACGGCGAACGTCTGGAAGAGCTGCGGCCCGTGTCCGACTGTCTCCGGGTGCTGTACGATCACACGGACCGTGCCCGAGCTGGTGCCGTACGCGATCTCAATCCAGTTGCCGCACAGACCTGACGGCGGGGAGGGGGGGGGGCGGACAGGGGTCAGAAAAGTGATCCATCAAAATCGCCCGGCGTTATTACGTGTATGCAAGTTGCCAGTAACTGTATCCTTCATTTCATTTGAATACACCAAAGCAACGCAAGTTTTGCAACTACTACGTTGAAGCGATTGGCGAACAGGGCTCTTATGATTGATATTGTCTCGTGCTTAACTTCGATTGCGAGATGTCAATACTGTGTTGTTTGCTTCTTTTTATTGGTGGAGCACTAATACGGGCAAAGTTGGGTGGATGCTTTCGTATTAGAGGCAAACCAGATATGGCAATGCGTTTCTATCAACTTATTGAAGTGGTGTAAAATATATTCGCGATGCGTTTTCCAAACAAGTCTTGGCAGCATTGGCAGTGCTCCTGGTAGAGCAACGCTGTGATAAAGCAGACTGTTCAAAGCTCGATCGAGCAGCGCTATAAACCAGGATGATATTCCCATCGCATATCATCTATCCATCGAATCCCTCCCTCAGTGTCAACCCCAGTACCGACTCCCACCCACGTGTCCCAGCTACCGATCCCACCCTCCGGCTAAAGACCACACGGCTTCAGTCCCACGCGGCCCCAGTGTCCGTTAGAGATGGCTCCCGATGGCGTCAGGTGCCCCTGATCTGAATACCCCCGTCCGCCGGTCAGTCTGTCGCAACAGGGTCCTCCCATCTCGCAGCGATGCGCTTTGACGCGTGACAAAGCGGCAGGCACCGCCGGGCCCTCAGAGCATCTCAAAGAGTCGAACCGGAGCGGTCAGGCGGAACGCCCGAGAAAACTGAGACGAACTGACGCAACCGGCACGCCAAAGTCATGAGACATAATAAAAAACATGATCTAAGAAAAAAAAAGAACATCGGTATTACCGCGTCCCTGTCCCCGATTTTCCTCCTGACGCACAGGCACGCGCCGCTGTAGCTCATGTCACATTTCCACGGTCCCCGGCACGGACAGAGGGCCGGGCAGCTTCCGGGGATGTCGCCACCACTGGGCGGCCTCCGCGGAGGCATCTCCTTCGCCCGGGGCGGCACCCAGCGCTCCAGATGTGTGCCGGCCGGCCTGCCCCCAGGGCAGGATCGGCAGATGTCCCCGTGGGATACTGAGAGCCATCAGTCATCGCTCCCCAAAGGATGACCGCACCAGGACCGGCGGCACTGGTCTGAGACCCATCCACGCGTAACCGGTTGACTAAAAGGCAGTAATAAAAACAGATTTGTCACGAATCAGACCACCCGAGCTCAGAAATGTCGCCATTGAACGTTGGCAGGGCGGAGGCGGTGAAACTGTCTGTATAACTTTTTCCTTTGACTGAAAGACTCACCAAAAATCAAAGATTCACCTACGTGGGAGAGCGGTTTTAGAAGTGGAACAAATATGCCTCGATTCACGGCTTACCGTCAGCCGTTTTCGAAACAACCGTTCGGATCATTCGGAAAATTGCAGTTAAAAATACATGGTTATTGCATGTCATAACCATTGCAAGGGATGGTTATGACCAAATGACTTTATTTGCATAGCAGGCCGCAGCAAAACTTTCTTCGTAATTGATAACCGTGACAAATCTCCAAACTTTCCACATGATCAAAACGGTTGCATAAAGCAGCGAACTCTAAGCTGCCCCTATTTTGCATCTCGTGATTTCATATCCATAATTTCGAAAGATTTTCCAAGCATAGCTTCGATACGTCCAAAGCCACACCTTGTCGTTTACATAGGTTTCCGGAGATGGGGGAAGGGAAGCACTCCGCTATTTAGCAGCCACAAACACGCTTGTCGTCAAAGAAAGACAAAGCATGATAAAAATATTCACAGATTTAATCCATATTTACACACAAATTTTGTATTCAAACAAACAATATACCAGAATCCCGCTAAGCTAGCGGGATTCAGGTCCAAAATTCATCTGCCGCTGCTGCACCGATACTTTTTGTAACTAGGGCAGAGGGAAAGGTTATGGGGACATCTCCCCAGCGGTCGGGCCCAGGAGACAGCGGACGGGGGACGCTCTGATGACCTAGCCTGAGGCCAGATCGTCCGGCCTGCTGGGAATCTTCCCGAGAGCGGAGCGGTGCTCTACAAACCAGTCCACCCAGGGTCGCGGGGAGGGGACGAGTATAAGGCTGGGGGGATCCAGAGCGTCGTAAGCCTCGTCGCAGCTGCGACGTGTCGCAAGTTGTGTAGTAAGTCGTTTTTGGAGGGATCAATTGATGAGTAGCGTTACTTAAGAAGTAACGTCTATCGCAAAGTGCCTGATTTACGACACAACTTACGAATTTGAAATAGCAGTCGTAAGTTGTGTCGCAAGTTGATATGGCCTTGAGGGAGAGGTCACAGGTCACAGGTCATTGGGGTCATGGTCACGAAATTTGCATGGTACGTGGAAAATTGTTGAAACTTGAGATCCTGAAAAGTTCGTTGCAATCCGTTGCCGCTAACGCGAGTTATAAAGCAAGAACCAACGGTTCGTCTATGAGGCCTCAATCCACGCCAGCGAGAGTGTTGAACATGGTGCATAATATGTTATATTCACATTTATTGGGGTATTCAGGGTTATGAAGTAGCCTAACACCATTCCAGCAACTACTGGCGAATCCAGAAAGGCGGTCTTGGACGTTGCGAGGGGCATCCCCAAAAGATTCTCCAAATTCTAGAAACGACGTGTCCCAGATGACCCCCATGACCTCGAATTGATCTCTGTGATGACCCCAAGTTGACCTCTGTGACCTGACGTGTCCTAGATGACCTCCAATTGAGCTTTGTGATGACCCCAAGTTGACCTCTGTAACCTGACGTGTCCCAGATGACCTCCGTGACCTCCAATAGAGCTCTGCGATGACCTAAAGTTGACCACTGTGACCTGACGTGTCCCTTGATGGCCCCAATGACCTCCAATAGAGCTCTGTGATGACCCCAAGTTGACCTCTGTTACCTGAAGTGTCCCAGATGACCTCCGTGACCTCCAATTGAGCTCTCTGATGACTCTAAGCTGACCTCTGTGACCTGATGTGTCCCAGATGACCTCCAATTGAGCTCTGTGATGACCCCAAGTTGACCTCTGTAGCCTGACGTGTCACAGATGACCTGCGTGATCTCCAATAGAGCTCTGTGGTGACCCCAAGTTGACCTCTGTGACCTGACGTGTCCCAGATGACCTCCAATTGAGCTTTGTGATGACCCCAAGTTGACCTCTGTGACCTGACGTGTCCTAGATGACCTCCAATTGAGCTTTGTGATGACCCCAAGTTGACCTCTGTAACCTGACGTGTCCCAGATGACCTCCGTGACCTCCAATTGAGCTCTGTGATGACCTCAAGTTGACCTCTGTGACCTGACGTGTCCCATATGACCTCTGTAACCTCTAAGTGACCCCTCTGATGACTCCAAGCTGACCTATCTGACCTGATGTGCCCCAGATAACCGCCATGACCTTCAATTGAGCTCTGTGATGACCCCAAGTTGACCTCTGTGACTTGACGTGTCCCAGATGACCTCCGTGACCTCCAATTGAGCTCTTTGATGACCTCAAGCTGACCTCTGTGACCTGGCGTGTCCCAGATGACCCCCAGTTGAGCTCTGTGATGACCCCGAGTTGACCTCTGTAACCTGACGTGCCCCCAAGTTGCCTTCTGTGACCTGACGTGTCTCAGATTACTTCCGTGGTCTCCAATTGAGCTCTGTGATGACCCCAAGTTGACCTCCGTGACCTGAAGTGTCCCAGATGACCTCTGTAACTTCCAATTGTGACCTCAATCTCCAACTCTACTAACTCTCTGTGACCTCATATGTACTCTCTTAACTCATTTCTTCTAAAGCATCGCTTCTAGATGCCCTATAGCGCCACGAATCTCCTGTCATCGATCCCAAAATTCATCGCAACTCACGTGAGCGTTAGCAACCACAAGTCACCCAGTTGAGACAAAGCTTCAGAATCAGAGAACATGCTTGAACTGACTGTCTCATAAGCTCGCAAACCAGAAGGGCGAATGTTCCTTTATGCTTGATAGAGTTTTCGACCTTACTGACGTTTACTACGGGATCAGCTGATCGTGTAGCCTTTTAAATTCTCGAGTAAAGCGGGTATTTAAACCTTGTCGCAGCTACGTTCTGTCGTATCCTCCGACAAACCCCTCTTTCCTCAACATCCCTCCTTTTTCGCTACGACACAACTTGCGACGGGACATGTGTCGTAACTTGCGACGTGTCGTAGATGGACTTGCGACGCCCTGGATCCCCCCGGCCTAAATGTCGCGGGGCGTCGAGACAGGGCATCACACGTCAGCAGCAGCTGTAGAGACACTCCAGTCACCAACACTACTATATATCCAACATGAAGATGGTAAGGAGTTCGAGGATGCATTTTGCGTTCTGTGTCCCTTACTTCGTCTTGAAGTCAGACAAAAAGGGAATACTTGCAACAACTTGTAAATGGAACGAATAAATGAGCAAACAAAATGTACCAGCTAACATCACCTCATTCCATTTCACAGTTTGTGGCCCTGTTTGCCGTGGTGACCGCCGCGGCCGCCGGCTCCCCCGGCTACGGACCCACCCCGGCCGTCCGCGCCGCCGCCGCCGCCGCCGCTCCGCTGCCTCTGGTGCGCATCCTCGAGTCGGAGAGCCACAGCGACGACCAGGGCGGCTACGGGTTCCGCTTCCTCTCCGAGGACGACATCGAGCGCCAGGAGCAGAGCGCCGACGGCACCGTCACCGGCTCCTACAGCTACCGAGCTCCCGACGGACGGCTCATCAGCGTGCGCTACGTGGCCAACGCGCTGGGCTTCCGCGCCGAGAGCGACGCGCTGCCGACGCCGGTGCCGACCGAGTACCCGACGCCGCAGGTGCCGTCCACGGAGGCGGCGCCGTCCGTGCGCACCGTGCAGCAGTACTCGGCGCCTGCTGAGCGGCCGGCCGTCCGGCAGCCGGCCGTCGAGTACGAGCCCGTCTACAGCTACCGCGCCGTCTCTCAGTGAG